GAACTATAACAATCTGGAACAGTCTCTCTGATCTCGTGCATAAGACAAAATATTTAGTTAAACCAATCATAGCATCTCTCTCACGAAACCATGCTCACTTGCTTTTAATAAATTAAAACAAAAGACACAAATTCCAGCCATGTATATATATAAAGATGCTGGGTAGCTAGCAAGGCCAAGTTCAGAACATGTCCCCATGTAATTTATTGCTAAAAGAAAGACCAAGACTTTAGTCACCATCTCAATTATATTATCGCTGTTAATTTACAATATAGGTAATATTGCAAAACCTTATTACGAGATATTACTTGAAGGATGAAGAATACCCAGAATTAATTAGAAGATATTCAATACAAAAATATCGAACATATATATATATATATATATATATTGATACTATTATTAATTTGTAGTCGTATATAATCGACTTTACCTGGTGGGAAAAAAAATTAATGTCTTTTTTTATTTATTTAAAAGAATCAATACGATAGTTAATTATTACCTTATTAATTAAATAATATGTTCTATATTTTATTTTATAACTCATGTTCGATAAAGTTTTGTATGTATATAAAATTAATAATATGTTAAAAGAGTATGTTTCACAATACATTTAAATTATATTTTAACTTATTTGACTAACTTAAAAAATTATTTGACTAAATTCGATCTAAAACGAAAAAAAAATGATTTTAGTTTTTATATTTTACTCAAACATGATTAAAGTCTTTATATTTATATATAATTTTATATTGATAAATTTGATGTTCAACTTAAATAAAAATGTGAATTTAGTTTCTCATAATTAAAGAAAAAAGTGATGAATTCTTAAATTTGAAGATCAAATTCATCAATACGAAAATAGACACTTTGATCATATTTAACAAAATGTAAAGATTAAAAATATTATTTTTTTAAATTTTATTTTTATTTATTATATTATAGCTTATAAAAAAATTTCAAGCTTACTTCATGTAGCGTTTGTACTTAATTCTACGTGCTTTTTTTTTATTTTATCTTTACTATCATACTGTAATTCCTTCTTCTATGTATTTTAATGTAATTTTACACTCATCAAGTCACTAATAACTAAACATTTTAATTGATTCACTTATTTCGCTACTTTTAGCTAGAAAACTTATTCACTAGTTTTAGTGATAATTTGTACGTTATCTTCAATGCATATTACTAGTTAAAATATACAGCGGGGTTGCCTCGTGCCCCAGTGACCCCCTGAAATAAACAATTGAGATATTTCCATATACAGCAAATTATATATCTATATATATATATATATATATCATGGCAGATTCTCACCGAACCCAGTTCTCTATCTTTATTTCTTCATGGTCAAGGAATCCTGCACTTAGCCAACCAACAACTTCATTAATCATTTGTGGTACCTAATAAAATAAAATATGTCAGGTTTCGCTATTTACATATATAAGCTGATATCTTCATGTTTTCTTCAAGGAATTAATTGTACGCGCCATGCATTTCTTCTTTTATGACCCTCTCATCTAAGTTAGGTTTCCTGACATGACAGCCAGCATTTACAAGTGTGCATTCATTAATTTTCCGATTCTGTAAAACCTAATTTCACATTTAAGCTAATGTAAAAAAAAAAAAAAAAAATCGCGTTTTTTTTCTCTCTTTTAACGTGTGTAATAGATTTTTAATTTTAGATTTTATATATATATATATATATCCCTGATGATATTGAGAGAATCGATAATATTAAAAAATGAAAATATATTTTTAGTTTTAAAAAAAACTTAAATTAAGATAAGACATCACTTCATGTAAAATTAAAATTAACTATTATTTTTTTAAAAATAATTTAGTGAGATTACTGATCATTTATCCTATCCTCATTATAAGTCTACATAAATTCAACAACTTTTATTATTATGGTTGTGGCCCCAACATGCAAATATGCATATTTAAACTAAACAAATGAGTCCAACCTTTTGTAGGACAGAAAAGGGTGACTGAATCTACCTGGAAACTGAGGTGGGTTTTGTCTCCAACTCATAGAAAGACATAATCTAAGTAAAGAAATTATTATATATGGAATGCAACAATAGATAAACAAATAAAAGGATGGGTAGACAACGATAGGACCAGATAATAAGTAAAGCCAGAGTGTGTGTTTGCGCTTGATGATTAATTATTTAATGTGTACCAGAGGAGAAATATTATCAGATACTCTTTCTGTTTTGTATTACAAATTAAAAAAAAAACCTAATTTTACACGTATTAAAAAATTAATTATCTATATTAAACTTTACTATTTCTATAATATTCTTCTTAAAGATCATGATATAAATGTTAAAATAAATAACACAATTAAAAGGTTATACATTAAAAAAGAGATATTTTAAAAATATATATTATTAATAAAATAAAATTAATTGAAACTTACTTTCAAGAAAAACAACATATAATGAAGACTAATTAAAATAATGTAGAATGAAGTGATATAATGATTTATCGTACGAGAGAGGTGGGGATTGAAACACGAGTTGGTAGTGTTTTGTGTGTTCTCTAATATTGGACAAATAAAATCTGATTACTCTGCTTAATTATTGGAAAGAAGGCATCTGTTGAAATTTTAGACCTCCCATGCCTTGTTTGTTTGTGTTGTTTTCTTTCTTCCCTGTCTGTCTGTGACGCATTCATTTTGATAAGCTGCTTAATTTGAAAACCAGGAATGGCCAAACACACCAATAATGAAGTCATGCACGTGACGAAAATACTATTCTTTCATTATCCTGAACACAATACATTTCGAGAAGACTTGAAATGAATCAGAGCTATATACACTTACATTCATATACATGTCCATCATACAGATTCAATACATCTTGTGCAGGACGAACGTGGACCACTCTACGTTAGTTTTTTTCCTTGATTCATACCAGAATTTCTAGGCACAGAGCAAACAAACATACAAAAAAACAAAATGTCATATTCTAATAATTCAACCAACAATTAACATCAATTAATTTAAAAATATATTATTATTTTAAATATTGGAGCTCTATATCAACCATATAAAATAAATCATACTATAAAACAATTTTATTAGTATAAAAAATAATTAATATATATTTATTTTTAATGTAGAATAACAAAATTTAAATGTTAACTAATAAATTTTAAGTAGACAAAAATTATATACCAACAGATTGTCCTAACAAGTGACATTTTTTCCTCCATTATTAAATAACATATTGTTTTGGTCAAAATAAGAAGGGGGCCTGGGGGATTTAATGTAGGATATATGCTTGTAAATTTGCATTATATTTAAATCACAAATTAATAAGGTTTGGATGATACTATTGATTAGATCAAAGCTGGAAATAATAATAATAATAATTATTATTATTATTATTTTTATTATTATTATTATAAAAGAAATCAATTAATAATTTATTATATTTAATGATAAAATAAAATATTTGTTTTTTTTTTTAAGAGTCGTGTTATTAATATCAAGTAACTATTAATTTTAATGATGGTTAATTTCAATAAAAAAAATTAATTGATCATTTTTTATAAAGTCTTTCTTTTTTATTATAAATCTTTATTTGAATCCGTGATTTTGTTTAAGATAACCAATTTTGATATCACTTGAAATCAATAGCTTTTTTTTTCCTCTCCATATATAATACTTTGGAAAATAGTTACATTTTTTCCAATAATTTTACTTTCTTTTATAATTATAATAATAATTAATAACATTAAAGACTTGTTTTGTGATGAAATTGAGAGGGGGAAAAATGAGAAATGGAAATTGGGTGTGGAAATAAAGTGGCATGATAGGTAGGCCGGCGAATGGCATTGACAGATTGGGAATGAATGAAGCAAATTATGATACGAGTGTTTAGACTTTAGAGTGAGAGCTAGGGTTGAAGAGAAAAGGGCCCCATCACTTGATTTGTTACTAACATGGGAATGGGATATCCCTCATTAGTAATTACACCACCTCTCCTCCTAAACAATAAACAAACATCTTCGGTCCAATTCATTATTTTTTTCATTTTTAAAATCTCACTTATTACAACCCATACACCTTTTCCCAACTCATCACTCTCTCATTATCATCCCATTACCAAGTTCACGCATAAACAAATAAACAAACACACCATTCACCCAAAAAATAAACAAACACACCATTAAATATATAATTTTTGTGCAATAAAAAATGGTATTTAAAATTTAAAATATAGTCTATACACTCCTCTTTCCAAAATAATTGTCATAAAAAAATTATTTCAAATTATTTGTCATTTCAACTTTTGTATTAATTTTTTTCACTTATATATATATATTCTCTCCTCTATTTATTATTTATATAAAATTAAATAAGATTTATTTTTTAAGATTATCATTTTTTATCATTTATTTATTATATTTTCTTGATTTGTGTAAAATATTTAGAATGTTTTTTCTTAACTTATGTAAAATATTTAAAATTGACAATTATTTTGAGACAAAGCAAGTAAATAATAAAAAAATAATATTAACATTTTTTTTATTCATAAAAATGACAAGATTTAAAATTACAATCTTATATATATTATCTCAACCTCACACCATTAGACTGGTCATAGTAGTTTAACCCTTTTTCTAACATTGTATCTCTAGTATTTTTTATATTATTAGCTAAAATTTATCAAAAATCACAAATTCTATAGACTGTTTATATCATTTAATGAGTCTTTCTTGATTTAATAATAACATCTAGAAAAATTTATGATTTAAATTTATTCGTAATGATAATAATAATAGTAAGAAAGAATGTAATTAATATAAAAAAGTAATTAGGTTTTAAAGAAAGTAATTACTAAAAAATAATATTTATGACTGTTGACTGCATTAAAACTTTTGAGTGTACGAATAGATAAAAAGTCAAAATGTTTAATTAAATTAGGGGTAATTTAAAAAGTAAGTAAAGAAGAAAAGATGCGAGAGCAGAAGAGAGTTGTCTTATTTAATAATTTTTGATGTGTTGATATAGTAACGCACTTGGCACTTGGCACTTGGCAGTGGCACCTATTACATAACCTTAAACTACTCTCGTACTCACCTGCACTGCTCTCTCTCTCTCTCTCTATTTCTCTCTTTGCTATTGCAGTGAATGAGTGAGTGAGTGATTCTCTTCCCTTAGCTTCCGCATCAAATGAATCCATAGTCATACTCATCACACAATAGCAATGTCCATAAACCAGTACTCGTGCTGGAACCAGCAGCAGCAGCAGCAGCAGCAAGCCGCCACGTGGGTGGCCGATTCTAACAGTCCGCGTTTCAACCTGAACAAGGAGGAGGTGGTGGCGGCGGAGCAGGAAGAGGAGAAAGAAGCGATGTTCGAGAAGGCTCTGACGCCGAGCGACGTGGGGAAGCTGAACAGGCTGGTGATCCCCAAGCAGCACGCGGAGAAGCACTTCCCGCTAGAGTCGTCCTCGAAGGGCCTCTTGCTGAGTTTCGAAGACGAGTCCGGTAAGTGCTGGCGATTCCGTTACTCTTATTGGAACAGTAGCCAGAGTTACGTTTTGACCAAAGGATGGAGCCGTTACGTCAAGGACAAACGCCTCAACGCTGGCGACGTCGTTTTGTTTCACAGACACCGCATCCACCCTCACCGCTTCTTCATCTCCTCCACCCCTCGCCAAACCCCACCCTCCTATCCTCACTCTCACTCTCTAGGTATATATATTTTCTCTCTTTCATGCTTTGCATTAACATTAACCTACACATGATTCTTGAAATGTTTTTGTTGGTTAAAAATTGATGAAAGCGTGGGCATGTGCACGTGTTGTAATTGGAACAGGTGGAGGGTCCCAAGCCCAAGCCCAAGCCCAAGGACAGAAGGAAACCACAGCGGCTTCAAGTGGGAGGGTGCTCAGGCTGTTTGGGGTGAACATGGAATGCCAACCTCAACCTCAACCTCATCATGATTCCCAAAACTCCACCCCACAATGCTCTTACTCTTTCTCTCCATATTCTTCTTCAAACCCTCACCCTCGCCATCACATGCTACATCAACAACAACCATACTAGAAATGCCCTCTCTCTTTATTAGATTCTCCTCTCTTTTTTTCTTCTTTTTTTCTTTTCCCTTTCCAGCTTCAGGGTTAAGGTATACATGCCCTTAATTAATTTTAGTCAATGACCCTAGGTCATTAACACCGACCCCTCACAGCAACCCTTCTTTATTATAACTAGTATATTTAGGTTGACGTTGAAGATTATAGAGGATCTTTCTTGTCTTCAATTAGGGAGATGCATGCAAATGGAAATGCCTTCTTTATTCCTTTTATCGGATCTTCTTGTTCCCTGTCGCTCCACCCTATTAATTAACAACTAAGCTCAGATGGGACTTTTTTTTTTTTTTTTTTTTTTTTTTTTT